ACCCTTGACCTCAAGAAGACAAAACCTTCACAAAGTAAAGAGTACCATTATACCAAAAATCTATTGGTGATTAGTTCGAACATAGACTCCTCGAAAGTCTTTTTTTTTTTTTTTATACGGAGTGTTTGAATTTGTGTAGACTACTTTCTCGAGTTCGAATATTAGTTTCCATAGCTCAAACGAGTTTTAAACATTATATTTGATGAGTCTAGATCCAATTGGGTCAAGCTCAATCCATGGAGTAAACCCAAATTAGCTACAAAGCAAGTCAAGCTCAGTTCATGGATTCAGTTAAGTCCAAAGTTCAAAAAATTTAGAAAGATTAGCACATGTGGGGAGTAAATATCAAGATAATTACTACTTGAAGATCAAAATTATCTTTAATTGTACTTATCATTAACTGTAGCTATCCTCCCGAATGACTAGTCACATATTCCTTCATGCCACCGCCTTAACTAAGATTGTGTGCTTATAAATTGTAAACCCTCCAAGGACACATTTCTATATATCTCACACAATTATCTCTCTACAGTTAGAGCTTATTATTTTTCTCTCCCCCACCTTTGTTGCCTTTAAAGTGGAGTAGGTCATCCTGACTGAACCACTTTATATTTGTGTGTTGCTTGTGTGAATCTCATTTTCATATTTATTGTATTTATTATTTATATTAATTATTCGACAGATGGTGCATAACTCCAGTTTTGTGCATCATCAATATTGTTATCAAAAGTCTATTTATGATTGTTATCTATTAAATAAATAAATAAATAAATCTTGGAGTAGGTCATTCTGATTGAATCACTCTATATTTGAGTGTTACTTGTGTGAATCTCATCTTTNTTGAGCAAAAGTCAAGCTATTGTATTCATGGCTTCTGTCTTTGTGGGTCCGTCTTCTAAGAATTATGAAGATGGGAAAAGAGGCAACGAGTAATTATTTAATGTAATGGTGCCATTTTGTAATTATTTATAATAAGTGATATTATTGTTTAATAATAATATTATTACTAAATTATGTGAATTTATTTATAAGTATATTAATTTAATATTAAATAATAACANCAAACCACAGTGGGACTCCTTACAATTATTAAAAGGCTAACCAGGTGTTATCTAGAATCGTCTGTTACAATGCAAAATGATGATGGCGCGTGACCANATTATTATTACTAAATTATGTGAATTTATTTATAAGTATATTAATTTAATATTAAATAATAACACCATGTGATAATGATATCGTAATATCATAATTACATTGAATATTTTTTACGAGGGCAAATATGTTTTAATAACCCAAAGAAACTCCCCTATTGAAGTCGATTCAATGGTGACTCATGCGAAAAAAAAAAAAAGGTAAACTATTTTTCTCCAGACAGTATAATGTCTTTGGATAAAAAGTTCACCACTCTCTAGATAAATTTATCCGAAAAAAGTCACAACACCACCAATAATAATTTAAAAAAAAAAAATTAAACGAGAAGTCACTAGTCTCTACATAAATGATCTGTCTTTCATTAGATAAAAAAAAAAAATTGAAATACGCGTAAGTTGATTCAAACATTTTTTACCATTGAACAAAAAAAAATATGTTTATAGAAAATTTATTATCTCACCAGTAAACAAAAATAGCAAATTAACTTTAAAATAAAATAGTAAAAAATAATTAAATAATTTAAAAATTAACACAATATATTGTACATAATAAAGTATAACAGTGGAATGAGATTCATATAGTTGATTACAAGTAATTTCGAATAAAGTTTGGTTCAATTAAGTTTATTTTTACCATTAAATGTATTAATTGGCTCAACCACAGGAAAAAAAAAGCATATTTATTTATTTATTTTTGATATCTATTTTTTCATTTTCCATGTCCACTAATATAGGAGCTTTGGTCAGGCTACAACCAATGGTGCGTCACTCAACCTTGTGCATACCAAAGTCAATTTACTAGCTAGCTAGCTAGCAACCAAAAAAGGGTCCATATTCCCATAATTGAACCTAAGAAGGTATCAACCTCTTTGACTTTTCATAATCTTTTGTTTACTTCTTAGTGTGATATTATTATGCATTCACACACCTTCTCTGACACCATGAATCATACTGACCCACTCACATCACCCTCCAATTTCGATAATCAAATCAATCTTTCTCTATCTTCTCATCGGGTAGTTAAGGTAAGAATGTCTCAAAAATTATATTTTAGAGGTCATAAATAGGTCATTATTTAAGTATATTTGAATATTTCGGTTGCAACTGTAAATTTAAAAACACACATGGTTTGATATAAAAAAAAGACTCGATAAAACTAACCTACTTATATGTCTTTTGTGTCCACCCCGGTTAAATTCCTAAATTAATCCACTAGTAAAAAATGTAACTCCCGACTTAATCATTGATTGACTTTAATGAGTTTATTTAACAAAATACGAATCTCTTATATGCTATTAAATAGAGAAAATAACATTTTGTCGGTTTGGATTGTCAAAAAAAAGAAAAAATTGGTTAACTAATTAGTTCAAACAATTTTTTTTTTTTTTGGNATTTGTTTCACATGATATGGTAGGTATCTTGGTTCTCCATTGTATAGACGTGCATCAGGCTTTTATTCGTCTTACTGTGGAATTTTTAGTTTGCAGGAAATATGAGGGAAGTATTTTCCTTTATAATTATGGAAAGATGATCCCGACGAGGTTGCCTATTTAGGAATAACTAAAGTTTTCATTTTGAATGTACTTCACTTAATATGGGAGCTAGCAAAATTTGGAAACAAGTTTCACCAAATATATACGTACATATACATAAAGGAAGCCTAGTACACTAGGCTTCCGTTACAACAGGATTTGAGGATAAAGAGAGGGGTCAGATGTACATAGTTTTACGCTCACATGCATATACATATTGGAGGATATTAGGTGTCTTAAGAGCAAGATTGTTCACAAAAAATTTGTTTGCAATTCTTAAAAGTGTTTCTTTAGCCAAAGTCAAAAGAACATTTTGAAGACTATTAGTTATCTTAGACAAAGACGGTTGGCAAAGGATTGTTTGCAATTCTCAGAAGTGCTTCTNATTTGTTTGCAATTCTTAAAAGTGTTTCTTTAGCCAAAGTCAAAAGACCATTTTGAAGACTATTAGTTATCTTAGACAAAGACGGTTGGCAAAGGATTGTTTGCAATTCTCAGAAGTGCTTCTCTAATCAAAGTTGAAAAAAGTCTGCAATTCTCGAAATTGCTAATTCATGCCTTGGATAGGAAGAAGAGAAACATTTGAGCATTCATATCTAGAGCTTCTATGGGTTTATCTTCCTAACGTTGGTAGCTTTTGTTGTGCATCACAGTACCAAATTATTTGGGTTTAAATTCTTCCACCAGTAGATTAACCTCAACACAGGCCTAGCCACCCCAGGCCTTGTCAATTGCACAGTAGGATTATCGATCACTAGGATTTTTCCAATCGGACTTAATATATCTCTTAGTCTTTCACGATTGAATAGATGAATAGGTAATCTCGGTAAAGACACCCAAATTGGAACCACCGGTGGTTCAATTGCTGGCAAGAACTCTGGGAACCACTTGAAAAAACGAAANCCTAGCCACCCCAGGCCTTGTCAGTTGCACAGTAGGATTATCGATCACTAGGATTTTTCCAATCGGACTTGATATATCTCTCAGTCTTTCACGATTGAATAGATGAATAGGTACTCTCGGTAAAGACACCCAAATTGGAACCACCGGTGGTTCAATTGCTGGCAAGAACTNTATTGTCTGATCAATGTTCTGTGATTGTAAAATGTGTAGCTAGTATTTACCAAATGCTTCTTGCTGCAACTTTCCCCATTCAGCTACTCACCTCTTGATCACTACTGTTAAAGAGAATCAAGATAAGCTGTTTGCAATGAATGCATANCTCTGGGAACCACTTGAAAAAACGAAACAAAAACCCTTCAATATAGGTAGCATCTTTCAGCCAAGTCTTTACATAATCCTCATAAGGAGTGTGACATTTAAAAGGAGAAAAGACAAACTTATACATCTTGAAACATTTGCCAGTATGCATGTACTTCTATCTAAAATTGCATAACTCGTGTCACCATCCAATTGTGCTTGCCCCATGTCAGCTTCGTCATACNTTTTTTTCTTTGGAGTTGTTTTACTCGGTCTTTTGCTATCGATCATTCGTAACTGGTCGATATGATGATCAGTATAATTAGAAATGAATAAGATCAGTATAGAAAGGAACAAGAAAAAGGCCAATGGGATGNTCTTGAAACATTTGCCAGTATGCATGTACTTCTATCTAAAATTGTATAACTCGTGTCACCATCCAATTGTGCTTGCCCCATGTCAGCTTCGTCATACTTATATCATGCCAAAACCATACATCCCTTTGGATTAGAGTTGGCAATGAGACATCTTTGGGATCGAACACCCCTTTCTCAACCCTGTTCGAGATTAAGCAGATTCCTTTGCAAGCCCATAGCAACCTGCAACCCTGACTTGCAGATGGTGGGGTAAGAGTCAACTATTTTCCATTCCTTGTTTGGATTTTCACATGTTGGGTGCATTATAAGACGCACTGGGTTGCCCTCTTTTTCTTTTATTTGCTTTTTTATCTTGACTGGGTGTCTAGTTCTATAAATCTAGCCTTTGGCAAAAAATTGGTCAAATTGAGATTTAGGAGCAGCCCTCTCCATAGGATGCTCAAGAGTGGCTGTAGGATAATAATATCTGTTGCCTTGGTACCAAGGGGCACTATGGTAGATTAAAAGATGTGTGGGGGTCTTTTGCTTGGCCATGCCCGTAGATTTGGTGATTAGACGTTTCAGCAATGGGAGAGTTACCTGGAGTCTTGGTGATATGTGGTACATCTTTACCCTGGATCTTGGTGATATGATAATGTTATCTGTTTATGGTCATCACTTTGAAACCATTACCCAATGTTTGCCTCCATTAACCAAGAGTTCTAGGAGGGTGGACTGGGTATTAACCTAATCTTTGGATTTTCTGGACAGAGTTCGAACCAGTTTTTTCACGATTGGAAGACCTAGCTTTTACCTGAAATAGTATAGTAAGCATGATCACCCAATGACATTTACTTTCTGGGCCTTTTGCTCGCATTGAGAAGTAAATACATCTAAATTGTAAGAAGTTAAATTTGTTCAATTACTTGATTACTGGTGATTACACTTCCCTTCCACCTACAGGTACTATTCTATGTATGGACATGTAGAGAAACTAGCAGAAGAGATAAAGAAAGGGGCTGCATCTATTGAAGGAGTTGAAGCCAAACTATGGCAGGTAGATTTTTTATCTTCTATTTTCCTTTTGGGATAAAAGCTCAAAGACAAACAAAGCATAGAAAAGTTTATCTGCATATTGCACATGTGTAAATGCTAGCTTGATCAGCCTTTGGTCATTTTGGGAATACCGGAGTAGTTTTATGGAGGTTCAGTGTATGTAAAAATGGATTTTGTAGAGGTACTAAAATGGGAAATAAACTCACGACCCAGTCAAGTCAAGTTAGGACTCAGTGAGGTCAAGTTTGGATTGATAAAAAATCCTTGGGATTGATCCCTAGTACTTTTGGGCAGCTTCTAAAATTTTGGACCTCATTGATTCATAACTTTGATCTCCTTGAATTGTAATCTGAGCTTCCGGAATCCATCCTATAATTATGGGGTCTAATTCTTCTCACAGTATGCTCAGCATGCTCTAAAAGAAGTGGATTTGACAAAAACAATTTATGGGAAAAGTCAACTGCTGTCCCCGGTTAAATGAAGACATAAAAAAAAGTGAAAAAGAGAATTGGATTTAGATAACACAAATGAAGAATTTTGAGAATGTCCGACTTCTGATGTGATGTCAATAACTTTTGGCACTATAACTTGTTTGACAGGTAAACGTGTAAAGTTCAAACATGGGTTGATTTTTGTTTATATATTGAACCGAAGGGATTTCTTTCCTGTAGAATATAGTTCTATTTCCCTCAAAGATTTGAGTCGATGCTTCCACTACAACTCTACGCCATTGTCAAATGCCCTTTTGCATCCTCAACCTTGTACTGATGTCAATGTATCCCCTGGAGGTGGAGTCAGTGGTGATTCCACTCAGTATTGTTTTCATTGTTAAGTTTTCCACATCTCAATTACTTCAACCTTATTTAATAATCCCCTGGGATTTCCTGCCTCCTGCATCAGATAAAGTCATTTTCTAGTTTTGACCCTCTTCCTTGTGTATAAACATTGAAATTTGAGCCTATTTTTTATGCGTCCTCACAATTTGTTTCATATCTGTTTGCTTATTAATGTCATGCATGATTCGTATTGATCTGACAAGTAAGTGCTAATGGCCATAATTTTCACTTTGTTAAATGTTCAATCATTCCATAAGCCGGAAATGATTATTTCCAATGTTTGGCTGCGCCTCTCTCTTTCTCTCTCACTGGAACAAAAAGAAACTAAACAAAAGAAAAATCAAAATCAGAACAAGCAAAGAAAGAAATGTGAAGACATAACTGAAAAAAAATACTAAGTTCTCTTCGCCCGGCTTGCTTTTGACCATGCATATACCATGCTACCAAGGCGATAGTAGCCACCTCTACTATTGAGCTACCGCTGCAGTAGGCTGGGAAAATTGGTTATTTCTTTCCTGGTCTTTTAGAACAATCACTAACATACTTACAGTTGTGGTCAATTTCTTTTATCCTGCTTTGGTTCACACATTCTTTGCATCAACCGCTAGAGAGTTTCCTGCTTGGGTCAAGCTCCCAGTTGAGCATGAAACAGAAATCCTAATATTCTGGGCTTACAAGACATGATATCCTTTGTGTGGAACAGGTCCCTGAGACGCTACCGGATGAGGTGCTTGGCAAAATGAGTGCTCGTCCAAAGAGTGATGTTCCAATCATTACTCCCAACGAACTTGCTGAGGCTGATGGTTTTGTTTTTGGATTTCCCACGAGATTTGGTATGATGGCTGCTCAATTCAAAGCATTCCTTGATGCAACTGGTGGTCTATGGAGAACACAGCAGCTTGCAGGCAAGCCTGCTGGGATCTTCTACAGCACGGGATCCCAAGGTGGTGGACAGGAAACTACTGCGTAAGTTCCTGCTTGAAAATATCATATGCAACTCAAGTCACCTAGAAATATGGTGTCAGATGAGAAGGAATTAACTTTTTGAATATTTCTACTTTTCCTCTCTCTCTCTCTCTCTCTCTCTCTTTCTCTCTCTCTCTCTCCCTCCCTCTCTCTCCCTCCCTCTCCCTCTCCCTCTCTCTCCCTCTCCCTCTTTAACTAATGAAGATTCACTATAGGTTGACTGCCATTACTCAGTTGGTTCATCACGGTATGATCTTTGTGCCCATTGGATACACATTTGGCGCTGGTATGTTTGAAATGGAGAAGGTGAAAGGTGGAAGTCCTTATGGTGCGGGAACTTATGCTGGCGATGGCTCAAGACTTCCATCTGAGCTTGAGCTGGAGCAGGCCTTCCACCAGGGGAAGTACATTGCCACCATCACTAAGAAACTCAAGGAAGCTGCATGATTCCTATTCACTGCAAAGATACTGTTTGCCATTCTTAAATTATATATATATTTTTTAGAATGGTTATATACTATTCTTATGTGCTTGCAAAGTGTCATTCTTGCTTCGTTGGATATGTGATTTGCACGTGTTATTGTAAGTAACAGTGATTTATGTCAATGATAAAAGTTTGTTTGCTCATCCGCGTTATCCTTTTCTGCATTGATCATAACATTGCACTTGCTGAATTAGATCCTCACCATTTCAAATTATGTCTGTTGGGATCATGACAATCATGTACAGTTGATCCAAAAATGGAATCCATGCACCAATACTCAGACAATCCAAGTATAACGCCGGATGATTGAACTTATGGCTGAAATTGATAATATTTTGTGATCATGCACACACATTTGCACATGCATGTCCTTGGAATTGGTAATAAGGTGGTGGTGGTACTCATAACATTTTTAGCTGCATATTAGTGTAAAAATTGGATTTGTCGCCTTATGGCCATACCCCCAGGTCTTGGANAGGGTGGTGGTGGTACTCATAACATTTTTAGTTTCATATTAGTGTAAAAATTGGATTTGTCGCCTTATGGCCATACCCCCAGGTCTTGGAAGGGACTCAGTCAGGAGTTTATCTCGTAATTTTGAGCCCTTTGGCAGAGCAGTATTTGTCACCATAGACCAGGATTCTATTGTCACCCCTAATTTTACGTCGATTTTATGTGACTAATGGGATTTGAAGTCTCGATGTGCGGGGGGAAATCTAGCCTATTACTCGATAAAATAATCTAACTCTTCTGATGATTGTGGTGATCGCATTGGCCTAAAATGCTCTTAAATTGTAGCTTTGAAGAGAATCTTGGGGTTGGAGGAGAAAATGTTACAACATTTTTATTCCACGGGACCACTTCCCCTCTCTAAACAACCAGACAAGTACAACATCATCATAGTCCATACTACCATTATTTTTGATTAAGCTTTGAGTCTCGTTTCCTGACTTATTTTTCCCTGGTGCTAAAGATCCCTCTTGTCTAAAGGGTGTTTCGCTTTGATTGGGAACTCACTGAAAATAAGGATCCCTATATTATCATGTTGTGTCCTACAGCCCTAGTCTTCTTTTAATTGCTACCACAATGTGTTTCTGTGGAAACTTTTTTCGAGCGAAAGCTGGCCAGCACAATTCAAAATAATGAGTTGCTAATAATTATGCCTTTTCCTTCCTGGAAAATTATACTTTGCCTCTATAAAATATGGCTCTTATTTCAATTTATTTTCTCTCAACTATTAATTGGATTTACATCATTTTCCTTACACATTCACAACGCTGGCCGATTGGTAGGCCAACTAAGCAGCCGCCTAGGGCCTCAAAAAAAAGAGGGCCCCAATTATGTTTGTTGTCTTCGTCTATTATTTTGGCCAAAAAAAATATTTTAGACACAAAATTTCTAATCATATGTAATTTCTTATAAAAAGTCCGAGTAAAACCGAAAAGTCTAACGGTCTCTTTCTAATGGTCAAATCACTAAATATCAAATGTCGCAATACAATTAAAATCTATAAATAAGTCTCTCTCTCTCTCTCTCTCTCTCTCACGAACACACACACACACATACAATAACTAGTTTACATTAAAAAAAAAAATTGTATATTTAGTTACCAATACCACTACAAAAAAACTCTTTTCATTCCCACGATCTATATATACACACATAAACATAATTAATTCTTTTTTATATTTTTATAATATAATTATTTAATTCAGCTATTTTTTTTTTTTTTTTTGAATGTATAATTTTATTAGACAATTTAAAAAATGAATAAAGAGTCAATTTATACAATCTCTATTTATCATGTATTATTGTTCCATTTTTATTAAAACCTTCTCTTAGTATAACCATTTATTGTTTTAACACTTTGTTTTGCTTACAAGAATTTTGGGTTTTGAATATGTCAACTGTAAAAATATGAATCCAAATATTAAAAGTATAAAACTTGAATAAGATATACTAACAAAATGTGAATATAAAAAAATAATCACTAATCACAAAAAAGTGAGAATAACAAATTTTAAATGAAATTTAGTGGTACGTTAAAATTATATTTATAATAAATTTTTAAAGGACCCTATTTATATTTTTTGCTTAGGGCCTCATCTTTTGTCGACCCGGCCCTGCACATTCACTTATAATTTCATTCAATGATTGATCATCAACCATGTATGAAAGAGATAAATAATGGATCCCACTAGAATATATGATGGATGATTTACTATTGAGTTAAATTGTGTAAAAAAATTAATGGAGAGAATTCCAATTCCTATTTATTGGACCCATTTCATAAATCAAGAACATAATTTCAAAAGGAAAAATGTAATTAATTTTTCCCTTTAATGTCATATTTCTCATTGATCAAGTGTGAATATACTAGACGATCTATCTATCTATATATATATAGATATATGTATCGCCGGCCTTTCTTCTACCTCGATGGTTGTGAACCTCAAATTTCAACCACTTGGTTGTGGGTTCAAGGGCTAGTAGAGAGAGAGAGAGAGAGAGAGAGAGAGAGAGAGAGAATATATATAGATATACGTATCATTCAGCATGTATGCCCATTTGTGAAATAAAAAAAATTCCAAAACCCCCCCCCACTTGATGTACGAATAAAGTGGTAAAATGGATAGTAAGAACATTTTCAACAATGACTCAAATTTTAACTCAAATTTAAATTAATATTTGAGTAAAAAAAATTGATTTGATATAAAAGACTCTTGTGACATCTCTAAAATTAGGGGTCTTTTTATCAACCGTTGACCACTTGTCAACTCGCGGAAGTACCCGTGATTGTCATACCACTTGACATCACGTCGAAGCTAACCCCTTACCTGGGACTATACCCACACAACCGTGGTTCTTTACACATTAATTTATAATCATTTTATCTCATTAGACACCCTTGAACAAGAGGAAAGATTGCCCAAGAATTGAGGGAAAGAATTCAAAATTTTGAAGTTTTGTGAGAACTTTTCAGTAGGTTTGTCTAAAACTTCCGAAAGGGATTGTGTGGGTATAGTCCCTGGTAAGGGGTTAGCTTTGACGTGATGTCAGGTGGTACAACAATCACAGGTACTTCCGCGGGTTGACAAATGGTCAACGGTTGATATAAGGACTCCCGATTTTAGGGGTGTCACAACTCTAATGGATAAACTCAAATTTAAAGAACGAGAGACCCAAATAAGGGTAAATCCAAATTTAAAAAGGAGTAAGAATGACCATAAATGAAGGCAAACCCAAATTTAAAAGAGAGTAAGGATGACCATTAGATCTTTAAAAGATGGTAAAATCTCACCATTAAAGATTTGAATTTCCCTTAATTTGAGTAAAAAATTGAGTTTCTCTTAATTTGGTATAAGTTTGAGTCAAGGGTTAAAACAAGTTTTTTAGACTTTTTTACTCAAATTTAAATTTGAGTCTAAATTTAAGTAAGGATTGAAAATGCCCTAATAAGTCCTATAGAATCAATAGATTCATGGTAAAATTCCTCGATGATATATTTTATTAAAATTTTTTGCTCAAACTTTCTCAAACTACAATTTTTTGGTAAAATTCCCTGTTGTCTGGTTGTGTTTTTCATCAATAAAAGGAATTTCAAATGGATTTCGATGAAATAAAATTGCTTACTTAATGAAAAGTTCAGGCAATATAAGCATTGATAATGTTGGCTATAATTTCAACTTTTGTATATTTGTAATAGAGAAAACAAAGACAATGTAAAACTAGTCTTTATGAATAATTTTTTATACTTGTATTTAATAATTTCTAGCATACATATAGTGAATAAGATACATTTTTGGCCTCTTATTTTCATAGAACATTAATCATGCAACAATTCTCAAGACTCAATCAATCGTTTATATATATATATATAGGAAGTCATCGTATTGAAAAATATCGGCGTTCACATGATAGTCTTTAATTATGATCATTGCTTGGAAGATGCTTTATTTATTTATGCTTCTAAGTAAAGCTAAGAAATCAGTTTCTAAAGTACATTGATAATAATGTAGAGCTGCTTATTAAACTAATATATAGTTTATTGCACAACGTTTTTTGCTATGAATAATGTTAAATTGACAAATAAATAAATAAATACTAAATGATGTTGTATTACTATAATGGAAAGACAAATGTACACAAGTGAAAGCCACGCAATACAAGGCTATTTCCATAATCCCGTGGAGCAATGCTACTCAGACTTATTTTTTAATTTAATTTGTTGACTTAATCATTCATAATTATTCGATTGATGGTAACCCTCATTATTTGTTGATTAGATTAATAATTTATGTCAATAAATTAGATCAAAATAATATTATTAAATCCCATAACACCAATAGAACAGCCTTACCAAGACTACAACTACCAACAGTTAAGCTACAATATCATCCGGGTGATAAATTCAAGACCTAACAGGTAAAGAAGGTCACCTACTACTCTCCCCGACCTGTGGCTCCTCTTGGGTGGCCCATCCACGTGTTTGTATTGTAGAGTAAAAAAGCATAGGTTGATCTGATTTAAATTTAAGACTTCTGATTTCTACTAATATGTCAATATGTATCTAATATGAGGATGGACGAACCAATTTTGTAATTTTGTTAGGGCAGAATCAAATGATTTCTCCATGATTAGTAACTTATCCCAAGGAGCTGTTCACTGTTTACTATATGGTTCTGGAATTTACGACGCTGATACCAAGTACCATATCTAATCATCCTCTTAAATATTATAAAAGTAGCAAATGGTTACCATCCATGACTAAACCAATTAAGGGTGCAAAACCAATAAACAAGTCCATAGTTAGAGAGAGAGAGAGAGAGTTATCTTTACTTTCCACTGGATGCACTTCAATGTGACCATTCGATGAAAAGCACAAAAGTATGGCTGATAGCTCCTGCACCAATATCCCTCTATTACTTATTCAAGAATATATAGTAAACAAAAAGGAAAAATACCCTAAAAGGAGGAGGGTATGGGTCACCCTCCGACTTCCACTACCATATTCCAAACATATAAACAAATCTAAAGTGAGATTTGCAATCAAATGTTCTCCCCACAAACACACACACACACACTAGCTTTCGTATTCTGCATCGCAATTATTCCGTTCCTTCATTTCTTCTTTTCTGTGTAGTCCTATTCTATGCACCAAGACATACAACAACAAAAGTTTGTTTATTCTCCCCTTGAGCTAACTAATTTCAGCTACAAGCAACAAATGTTATATAATCTAATCTATACTATCTCCAAGTTTAGCACCTGTTCTCATTCCTAACGAACCTATCTTTAATCATAAATCTTCAATTATTACAAGACTATATTCGCTTCCAGTGGTCCCTCATATTGGTCCAATCTGCATAATTTTTGTGTGAAGGTTGTCCAACAATAGCGCCCTATTATTTCTTTCTCGTTTGATTATTGTACAATCATAACACAGAGTTTTCTAAGTCGTCGTTCCCTCTTGGCTAGGGTTTGATGTGTTTCTAGTTGCATTTCATAGAATCAGCTCCATGCCCAAATATCGCTTGCTTCTTCGCCATCTTTATCTGAAAGTTCCTCCAAAAGTAGGGTTCCAAAAATCAACTGTTTCATGAGTGACAGGGAAGGTGCTCGAAACGGGTACCAGACATAGTCCTCGACTTCTAAGATCTTGCTTGGGTCCTTCAGGATCATTGGATTTATCAGACTTCTGCATGATAAATAAAAAAAAGCTTTGATTGTTGAAAAAGGAAGTTTAATTCAGGCAGAAAACCGACAAGATTCCAACTATTTATTGATATCGATTGTGTGAGTAGGAACAGAAGAAGAGAATTTTGAACCTGGTGGTGCTGTATGGAAGCTCCACTTTTCATGTAAGGAGTGCTTAAAACCTAGAGTTTTAAATGAAAACAAGGGCATATGTTAGAAAAAGCTGAGACTTCGATACATTTTATTATATTGTTTGCATATTGAATTTGCTTCCTTAGTTGCTTTAATAACTACAACTTATATCAGATAAAGAGAAAGAACAATAATTATAGCTTATGGAGCTTACACTGACTTGTTCATGGAGGAACTTGATGTATTCAATAGCTTCAGAGAGCACTGAGGCAGTATCGGTCTGAAATAATAGCAAAACATAATGGACATCAATCAATGCAGCCTTTGTGAATTCAGAAAGAAAATGGTCTCACTATACTACTATGTGAAAGTGGAGAAATTCAGAAGTTCACCTTTCCGAAAGGCGAAACCAATTGTTGCAATGCAGTGATTCTGTCCCCCATCTTCTCTTTCCTAACCTAATGAATAACAAAGGGGATATGTTCTCATCTCTATCAGGCTATGGAAAAAGAATAAAGCGTAAAATTCTGAATTGTCAAAAGGTTTTTGAACTTATGCGTACCTTAAAAGCTGGCAAAGGTGATGGGGTTTCATTACGAGGCCTTTTATTTGATGGTTCACTGCTGCTTTTCTTCACCACTGTGCCCAAGTCCCGAACTTCTGATGTATTCTGTTGAAACATCGTGTATGCAAATTCAACTTAATAAAATCTTAATCAGTTAGTATGGATCGACATCAACAAAAAAGTAGAAACCTTAGTTGTGTGAAGAATTTATCATGCACTACCCTACCAACTTAATCATCTTAGTACCTTTGGTTTTTCATCAAAGTTTGTCGTCGGAAATTTCGTTTGTAACGCTGGGAAAAAGCTCGGTCGAGCATCGTTCATGGGGGCTGTGGAAGCATTCCAAAACGGAGCGTTGTTGGAGAAGTGTAACTGGCTATGAGGTGCTTGTTTTGGAGGTGAACTTCTGAGAAACTGGGGAAATTTAGACCAAGAACTAGAAGGCATGGCTTCAGCAGAGTTCATTCCATAGCTAGATGGATACGAATAATTCATCGTTCTGCTCTCGAAATTCGATTGTTGTTGCTGGTTATCAGATCCTAATAATCCCTGAAACATAGTTGAAGGACTTCCATACATGGCTGAATCCATCTGAAAACTAGTTTGTAAGCCTTGACATGTTATAGTACTGTCGCTTGAGCTGATATGAGAACTGTACTGTGGTTGATCTAATGTTAAACCTCTGTTAATTTGCTTGAACTCGTTCATGGAGGAGTCCTCAGAACTTGCAGAATACATTTTCTGTCTCCACTGTACTTGAGAAGATGATATCCCACCTTCTTGCTGAAAACTTGTGTTCGAGTTTAAGTCTTCTTGAAGCATCGACCGAAAACTACTCTCAGATTTTTCACCCCTACTGTCCAAAACAGAAGAACAAAGAACCCAATTCATGATTCAAACACTTCATGAAGACAAAATAGAAATAAAAAACCGATGCAGTTCTTTTAGGGTTCTTAGGAGAAACAAAGTCATAAGTGCACTTACAGTAGAGCTTGGTTCCAATCCATTCCTTGAGATGAAAGGCCTAAACCAATCAAGTTGGGATCAGGCACTTGCAGCTTCTGGGTATCTTGGAAAACAATTGAGCTCCGAGAATCTGACACGGAATCGATTGATGACGTTGCTTTGATATCCACTATTTCTGTCGGCCATCCAAATCTTACTAAGCTATTTGTTGTCGTAGTTGATGGAGTCGATCCACTTTCAAACCTGCTTCTTGGTGAATCCCACCAGTTTCCACTGCCAAGCTGAAATTCATCCGCCATGCCCAGAAACTTCTACCGCTCTACTTCTACCTTCTGGTTTATGATCCCTCTCTCTCCCTCTCTCTCTCTCTCTCTCTCTCTCTCTGTAACTTGAGATTCTTTACCCTCTGAGACTCTCTTCCAATGTTTCCTTTCCCTTGTCTTGGTGTCATATAAAATGAATGGAAATCGATTCGCTGCATCTCGCTATTTATATTAAGTAGAACCCGTTTGAGTTTACAAACAGAAGAAATGACCAGAATTTGGTTGACTCTACAGGGTGATTAGACGAATGAAAGTTGATTCTCAAATCAAATTCCTTTGCTTGGCCAATTAATTAAGTAAATTAATGATTTTTTAATACCAAACAGAAAAAATTAATGACTTCCTAGAACAGATGTTTTTTCCTGTTTCTCCCTCCTCTTCTTCTTCTGTTTTTTGTCCTTTGTTTGTATTGTAATAAGTGGTTGTTTTAGTAGTAACCAAATAAGCTTTTCCAGCCACTAGTCGAGTCAATATAACAATTACAATACAAGACAAAAGGTTACACGTCATTTAACAAAAACTTAATGCATGATTAAGCTCTCAATAATACTACACCAAAGCTGATAACGCAAGGATTGCCAGTGGGAATTAGTTCATTGGGTTCCTCTAGAGGTTGCAAAAATCAAACAATGTAATTGAGAGCATCTGGATCTAACTTTGATGAGAGCATCGGCATATAATGACAACTTAAAACTTCATTTTTCTCTTTGGTTGTAGTATAATAGGTTCTCTTCGGTTCTTTTATTTCTTCTAGGTGAGTGAATCTTTATCGATAAAAAAAATAGTTCATGCCCTATTTGGTAGAGTGGAAAATAGGATTTGAAGGAAAATGAAAGAAGGGAAAAAAGAATGGAAAGAAAAAGTTTCTATGGTTTGGCGGAGAGGAAAAATATGATGGACAAGAAAGTTGGAAGGATTCTTTTTCTTCTCTGTCCACCAAAATTTTTTCATCCAAATTTGGACAAAAAATTGCAGGAAAAAGAGAGGTTAGGCTATTTATGGTGATTTTACCTTTTTTCCCTTTATTTATTTCTTATCTATCAAATTCATGCATGAAAGTTTCAAGAANTTCATGATTAGTAACTTATCCCAAGGAGCTGTTGTTCACTGTTTACTAAATGGTTCTGGAATTTACGACGCTGATACCAAGTACCATATCTAATCATCCTCTTAAATATTATAAAGTAGCAAATGGTTTCCATCCATGACTAAACCAATTAAGGGTGCAAAACCAATAAACAAGTCCATAGTTAGAGAGAGAGAGAGAGAGAGGGTTATCTTTACTTTCCACTGGATGCACTTCAATGTGACCATTCGATGAAAAGCACANTCCATGATTAGTAACTTATCCCAAGGAGCTGTTCACTGTTTACTATATGGTTCTGGAATTTACGACGCTGATACCAAGTACCATATCTAATCATCCTCTTAAATATTATAAAAGTAGCAAATGGTTACCATCCATGACTAAACCAATTAAGGGTGCAAAACCAATAAACAAGTCCATAGTTAGAGAGAGAGAGAGAGAGTTATCTTTACTTTCCACTGGATGCACTTCAATGTGACCATTCGATGAAAAGCACAAAAGTATGGCTGATAGCTCCTGCACCAATATCCCTCTATTACTTATTCAAGAATATATAGTAAACAAAAAGGAAAAAAGGAAAAATACCCTAAAAGGAGGAGGGTATGGGTCACCCTCTGACTTCCACTACCATATTCCAAACATATAAACAAATCTAAAGTGAGATTTGCAATCNATACCCTAAAAGGAGGAGGGTATGGGTCACCCTCCGACTTCCACTACCATATTCCAAACATATAAACAAATCTAAAGTGAGATTTGCAATCAAATGTTCTCCCCACAAACACACACACACACACTAGCTTTCGTATTCTGCATCGCAATTATTCCGTTCCTTCATTTCTTCTTTTCTGTGTAGTCCTATTCTATGCACCAAGACATACAACAACAAAAGTTTGTTTATTCTCCCCTTGAGCTAACTAATTTCAGCTACAAGCAACAAATGTTATATAATCTAATCTATACTATCTCCAAGTTTAGCACCTGTTCTCATTCCTAACGAACCTATCTTTAATCATAAATCTTCAATTATTACAAGACTATATTCGCTTCCAGTGGTCCCTCATATTGGTCCAATCTGCATAATTTTTGTGTGAAGGTTGTCCAACAATAGCGCCCTATTATTTCTTTCTCGTTTGATTATTGTACAATCATAACACAGAGTTTTCTAAGTCGTCGTTCCCTCTTGGCTAGGGTTTGATGTGTTTCTAGTTGCATTTCATAGAATCAGCTCCATGCCCAAATATCGCTTGCTTCTTCGCCATCTTTATCTGAAAGTTCCTCCAAAAGTAGGGTTCCAAAAATCAACTGTTTCATGAGTGACAGGGAAGGTGCTCGAAACGGGTACCAGACATAGTCCTCGACTTCTAAGATCTTGCTTGGGTCCTTCAGGATCATTGGATTTATCAGACTTCTGCATGATAAATAAAAAAAAGCTTTGATTGTTGAAAAAGGAAGTTTAATTCAGGCAGAAAACCGACAAGATTCCAACTATTTATTGATATCGATTGTGTGAGTAGGAACAGAAGAAGAGAATTTTGAACCTGGTGGTGCTGTATGGAAGCTCCACTTTTCATGTAAGGAGTGCTTAAAACCTAGAGTTTTAAATGAAAACAAGGGCATATGTTAGAAAAAGCTGAGACTTCGATACATTTTATTATATTGTTTGCATATTGAATTTGCTTCCTTAGTTGCTTTAATAACTACAACTTATATCAGATAAAGAGAAAGAACAATAATTATAGCTTATGGAGCTTACACTGACTTGTTCATGGAGGAACTTGATGTATTCAATAGCTTCAGAGAGCACTGAGGCAGTATCGGTCTGAAATAATAGCAAAACATAATGGACATCAATCAATGCAGCCTTTGTGAATTCAGAAAGAAAATGGTCTCACTATACTACTATGTGAAAGTGGAGAAATTCAGAAGTTCACCTTTCCGAAAGGCGAAACCAATTGTTGCAATGCAGTGATTCTGTCCCCCATCTTCTCTTTCCTAACCTAATGAATAACAAAGGGGATATGTTCTCATCTCTATCAGGCTATGGAAAAAGAATAAAGCGTAAAATTCTGAATTGTCAAAAGGTTTTTGAACTTATGCGTACCTTAAAAGCTGGCAAAGGTGATGGGGTTTCATTACGAGGCCTTTTATTTGATGGTTCACTGCTGCTTTTCTTCACCACTGTGCCCAAGTCCCGAACTTCTGATGTATTCTGTTGAAACATCGTGTATGCAAATTCAACTTAATAAAATCTTAATCAGTTAGTATGGATCGACATCAACAAAAAAGTAGAAACCTTAGTTGTGTGAAGAATTTATCATGCACTACCCTACCAACTTAATCATCTTAGTACCTTTGGTTTTTCATCAAAGTTTGTCGTCGGAAATTTCGTTTGTAACGCTGGGAAAAAGCTCGGTCGAGCATCGTTCATGGGGGCTGTGGAAGCATTCCAAAACGGAGCGTTGTTGGAGAAGTGTAACTGGCTATGAGGTGCTTGTTTTGGAGGTGAACTTCTGAGAAACTGGGGAAATTTAGACCAAGAACTAGAAGGCATGGCTTCAGCAGAGTTCATTCCATAGCTAGATGGATACGAATAATTCATCGTTCTGCTCTCGAAATTCGATTGTTGTTGCTGGTTATCAGATCCTAATAATCCCTGAAACATAGTTGAAGGACTTCCATACATGGCTGAATCCATCTGAAAACTAGTTTGTAAGCCTTGACATGTTATAGTACTGTCGCTTGAGCTGATATGAGAACTGTACTGTGGTTGATCTAATGTTAAACCTCTGTTAATTTGCTTGAACTCGTTCATGGAGGAGTCCTCAGAACTTGCAGAATACATTTTCTGTCTCCACTGTACTTGAGAAGATGATATCCCACCTTCTTGCTGAAAACTTGTGTTCGAGTTTAAGTCTTCTTGAAGCATCGACCGAAAACTACTCTCAGATTTTTCACCCCTACTGTCCAAAACAGAAGAACAAAGAACCCAATTCATGATTCAAACACTTCATGAAGACAAAATAGAAATAAAAAACCGATGCAGTTCTTTTAGGGTTCTTAGGAGAAACAAAGTCATAAGTGCACTTACAGTAGAGCTTGGTTCCAATCCATTCCTTGAGATGAAAGGCCTAAACCAATCAAGTTGGGATCAGGCACTTGCAGCTTCTGGGTATCTTGGAAAACAATTGAGCTCCGAGAATCTGACACGGAATCGATTGATGACGTTGCTTTGATATCCACTATTTCTGTCGGCCATCCAAATCTTACTAAGCTATTTGTTGTCGTAGTTGATGGAGTCGATCCACTTTCAAACCTGCTTCTTGGTGAATCCCACCAGTTTCCACTACCAAGCTGAAATTCATCCGCCATGCCCAGAAACTTCTACCGCTCTACTTCTACCTTCTGGTTTATGATCCCTCTCTCTCTCTCTCTCTCTCTCTCTCTCTGTAACTTGAGATTCTTTACCCTCTGAGACTCTCTTCCAATGTTTCCTTTCCCTTGTCTTAGTGTCATATAAAATGAATGGAAATCGATTCGCTGCATCTCGCTATTTATATTAAGTAGAACCCGTTTGAGTTTACAAACAGAAGAAATGACCAGAATTTGGTTGACTCTACAGGGTGATTAGACGAATGAAAGTTGATTCTCAAATCAAATTCCTTTGCTTGGCCAATTAATTAAGTAAATTAATGATTTTTTAATACCAAACAGAAAAAATTAATGACTTCCTAGAACAGATGTTTTTTCCTGTTTCTCCCTTCTCTTCTTCTTCTGTTTTTTGTCCTTTGTTTGTATTGTAATAAGTGGTTGTTTTAGTAGTAACCAAATAAGCTTTTCCAGCCACTAGTCGAGTCAATATAACAATTACAATACAAGACAAAAGGTTACACGTCATTTAACAAAAACTTAATGCATGATTAAGCTCTCAATAATACTACACCAAAGCTGATAACGCAAGGATTGCCAGTGGGAATTAGTTCATTGGGTTCCTCTAGAGGTTGCA